TGTTTATATTTATATAAATAAATTTAAATATATGCCATAAATATAAAAGTATAAAATATATAATACATATACTAAAATAAATAATTATATTACACATACATACAGTATATACATAAATATATCTGTACTGACCTTGGCTCCTCTCTTACAGAGAAGGCTGACCAGCTCCAGATGACCAGCGGCCGCTGAGTAACACAAAGCACTCATGCCGTTCTCTGAAACCACATCCACGTTTGCTCCGAACTCCAGCAGCAGGCTGACCGTTTCCTGATGGCCCAGGTGAGCCTGGACGCAGAGGACCGGGGCGTTGTTCAACACCTCCGTACGGTAGTTTACATTCGCTCCACCCAGCATCAGCAGACGGCTCACCTACAGACAGATACCAGAGAGTGTAGAGACTGACAAATGATGCTAGAGAGCTCAAGAACTCTAGACATCATTCACAAGTCACAAGGTTTGCTTTCAGCCTCTTCAACCAAATCCCTAAAATCGAGAGTGATTTGCAGCATTTGAACTGTCGGTTGTCATTTATCTTCCTCCAGCCCTCATATTGTGTCTTTCTTTGTAAAAACAATGCCTCATCCTGTGTTTAAAGTTCATTAAGAACAAACTGCTGATTGGTAAAGCATGCTGATCACAGTTCACGGGCTCATTAAGTGCTCCGGCGCGCGGCGGCACATTGTGTCCCAGTCATTAATCAGCCTGGATTCTGCTTTTGATAAGCGTATGAATAACAAACGTTTAATCAGCAGCGGCTGTGCGGCCCCAGAGGCCCGAGAGCGCCTGGAAATGAAACGTGTTTTATTTACCAAAACCACATGAGAATGTTTAGATACCACCTTGAGGAAGAGAGAGAGAGAGAGAGAGAGGGGGATGGAGAAGACGAGGCGAAAGATAAATACAAAATACAGCTGCATGCAGCAATCACAGGCCAAACTCGACTAACAGTCACTGAGAGCCATTTAAAGAGTTCAAGGACGACTTATTTACACTGAGACGAGAGAAAAACTGTTAACTGTTAGTGGAAAGTGAAAACACCCTGTTTAATCGACACAAGATGAGGAGAGGAAATAATCAGTTCAAAGGTTATAAGCAAAAAAATAATAAAAATCCATCCATCCATAGTTGCTTATCCAGATATATATATATAAACAACAAAAAAATAATAAAAATATAATTTCTTATTTTTTATTTTCTTATTTGTTTTCTATTGATTTTGGAGAGAAATGATAAATAAATAAATAAAAAATATATATAATTTATTGTTTTTATTTCCTTTTTTGTTTTCTGTTGATTCTGAAGTTAAATAAATACATTTAAAAAATGTCTTATTTTATTATATTTGTTTTCTGTTGATTTTGGGGTAAAATGTGACCTGGATGGTGTTTTTAAGAGATTCATTCAATAACATGACGGCCAACAAAAACAATAGAGAAAAACTGGAAAAAAGGGATAGAGAACAACACGTTCACTGCATCTGTCATCGTGAGCAATGTGTGTTTTCAGTCCATAGCATTCAAAAGAAGCAGCACATCAACCTGTGCTGTGAGGAAAAACCGTGAAGTGGAGGACGTTATGAATGTTAATAGATGAGGAGGAAAATAAAATCATCATTCCTGCTCCTGAGTCTCAGTACAGCGTCCGTCCTCTATCACACACTCAGTGCAGCACAGGTGAATCATCTGGACGACTTTACTGTTTAAATGACCTTTAGATTATTAAACTAACACTAAATCTAAAAGGGTTTGATAATTACTTAAAATGCCAAGTCTGCTTTCCAGCGTTTATCTGTTGTCTTTTTATAATCTTCAGATCAAACCGATGGGAGTGAAGACGTGCAGCACTAATCTGACCATAAACGACGGATTTCAATGCTTGACCAGAACAGACATAATCATAACATTGTTTTGCATTACATTAATGAGAAATTGTCCTCAATGGTCTCGAAACCTGCTGCTATCAAACTCATCAGTTCATTAAATACAGGAAGTCACTGAAATACATTCACGTCTATGATTTACACATATTACTGAATAAATGAAGTGATGTGTCTGAACGCTGGACTTCAGCAGTCCTAATGACGACATCTCATTATAAACGCTTGCACCGGGAGCTGTAATGTCATTCAACGGGGAACAGGACTCATCGTAGGGGTCAAAGGTCAGTGGCAAATGCTGCATTCTAATTGGCTCTCTCATCAATGTAGATACAGTTATGCATCAACACCAGGCATCATTTGAGGAAGACAGCTACAGACAGTCTAAATGCATTAAAATAGTAACATGTTGAAACTTCTATGGAAAAAATTAATGAGGAAAAACATCTGGAAGCAAATCTGCTGAAAACAGAAAGTGCTGACCTTGACATTGGGTGTGTAGAGGTTCCTAAGAGAGACCAAAGCAGCAGAAAGACCATCAGTGCTACAGCTGATCCATAAAGCCTGAAGAACACTGGACGACACACCGGTCTTCTTACTCAGACCCTGCAAAAAAACACACACATATACAGTATTACCAATATTATATCATAAATATAAAAATTCATATTATAGATGTATGCATTTGTATTATCATTTAAATACATAAATGCATATAGCCATAAATAAATAAAAACAAACTTCATCTCTGCGACTGCTGTGAGTTCACTTATAACGTGCATTTAAAAATGCAATATGACATGCCAACCATCTTTTAGAAATCTGTAGCTGTTTTCAGCCAAGATAAAATCTCTTTGATTTAACGATTGAAAGCAAAAAATAAGGCAGCCAATAATTTTTAGCACTGTAAATTTATGTCGTAAAAATATTGTACATATTTATAGTACAATAGAATTACAGCTATATTTCTTTATTGATTTGAAAAATGTGCATAATTTAAGTTAATACAAAATAACAATAATAATACTGATATAATTAATACAATTAATACAAGTATAAAAATTATTTGCATTATTATTATAAATATTTTATTTTATTAAGTTATAAATGGTTTGTTTTTAAATTATAATTGCTATTAAATTATAACTACTATATTAAATATGGTTGTTTATCGGAAGGTGAACTGCTTTGTCATGATTATTCTCAATGGTGTTAATTAATGTGCTCCTGAATTGAACTGATAAGCTTTGCTTTGTTATATTGTGGCACATTAATGCTATTATCTCTAAAAAATGGATTTCAACTGTGCTCCTAATTTTTCAACTGTTTTATTAATATTTGTAACTTTTTTTAGCTGTACGCATAGATCTCTCCAGACAGACGCATCAGGTACCTTAAAGATGTGTGCTTTCAGGATGTGGTGTCCCAACTCCATCGTCTGCTGCCTGTTTAACTTTCCCTCCTGCCTTGACAACATGAAGGCCATCAGTGCATGTCCACTCCTGCAGAGAAACACATGCATTTATGAAGGAAGACGACGAGAAACAGCACTGAGACACAAAAGCTGCTGACTGCAGAAACACTCCTCCCTTCATATCATCTGTCTTTATTTACTACTCACTCTTCATGTTCATCACACAGGATTTTTAGCAATTTAATCTAGCAATTATTCTCATTCATGTCCTCGATGACAGCAGAAGGGTGAAGGGTGAATTGGAAAGGCCTGTAAGCTTTTAAAATATGAGACTCTTAACAAAAGTTGTGGTTTTTAACATCAGGTTCACTTTTCATGTCAGTTTCTGCCTTTATAAATTCAGATTTCTTTTAATGAAGGATCAGTCGCATGCAATTAAGGTCAAATCTTTTAATCTCTGAGATCAAACGAGCTTCTCGTGAGGTAAATCTCTGACTAAAAGCACAGTATTTGATGCAAGGCGCTGAAAGCGTCTCTGTGTTGGCGTGGTTTGGCCCGCCTGGAACGGCGCCCCTGTAAAACACAGGAGAAGGGTGGAATAGGCTGCTTTAGTGTTTCCCCAGCTCTCGCTGGTGTTAATTAACCGAGCTTCATTAAAAGGCCACGCATGAATGCAGCTGGCTTTGATCAGCACTGCATCTCCTCTACATTAAACTCAATCCGTCGCCTTTCTTTTCTCCCTCTTTCAGCAGCCGAATAACACGGCAGGGAACTTTTTAGAAGTCCCTCTTTTTCAGAGCCAACTTTTCTAGTCTGGACCGGGAGAGGGTTCAGGGAGGTGAGTGATCAATAGGACACCGATGGACCAATCAGAGCGCTTGAACAGGAGAGGAACAGAATCCCAATTACAGCTAAAACTGGAGTCTAAGATCACCACAGCTTATCAGCACCTCTAGAAAATGAGTAATGAGTGCAGTTTCTTATCCTGTGTTGACATTTTCCTGCAGCGGACGGACGTTTCTTTACTATAACACAAAAAAATTACATATATAAGGTGTATAATTGATGTACTAATATATATCTTATATACATAAAGTAAATTATTATCCAAGTAAAAATGCGCACACACACACACACATATATATATATATATATATCATTGCAACAGTATAATTAACATGCTATGTAATTATTGTATTATATCATATATGTGCATTATGCATTATATAATATAAATTATTCTAATAAATATTTATATATAATTATAATAATATAATAATTAAGTAAAAAATATTTAATGGTAATGACCAATATAGAAGAATAAAGATATTTAAAATGTAAATTGTAAAAAATGTAAATAGTAAAAAAAAACAAAAAAACTTTGAATTGCAAAAATCTTGATGGTTTTAAAAACTGCATTGTTTTCTTGCAAAATATTTTTATTTTACAATTTTGTCAAGGGTGACTTAAAAAAAGGGTGACCGTAGCATTGGTCTGGTTTCACACTCTCTTGATTCTGTCGAACCCCGGTGCGTTTGCGGTCATCTTACATCATCACAAACGTGCAGAGCGTATGACAGAAAAAAGAACGTTGGTCAATATATTGTGTTTTTTAATTAATTTGGTGCTATTATGCGCAGCAGAGTAAACGACATATGGGCTTACTGTATGTGTGGCGCATGTAGACGGCTATTTTGAGGAGACAGCGGATTTCCATTCATTTGCCGCTCTGATTGCAGTTGCTACACGCGAATACACTGCAGGCTCACTCTCACTCAAATCCAAGGTAAATCAGCAACACTATCATCACTTATATGTGTTTTATTGAAGAATATACATTGTAATGTAACTTTACTTCCTGAACAAGTGCGCACCCGAGTCCGTGTTGCTTTCATATTCACGTGAACCGCGCCACAGTTCGAGTGCAATCGAACTCAGACCACCTCCTTCAGGTAGTCTCGGGTTCGGTAACTGCGTTTGCATGACAGCTTTCACACTAGCCAAACGTACCGAACTCTGATGTCAATCAAACCAAACATGCTAGTGTAAAAGTACCCTAAGACACTTGTTAAGATGCAGCACTGAAGCTCACCTGGGGTCACACATGAAGTCGGAGCTCTCTCCATCTCCTCGCCACACCAGCCACTCTCTGAAGGACGGGTGGCAGAACATCCGCGTCTTATCCCTGCGTTTGATGAGGAAACACGAGAGCGTCTCCATCCTCTGCTGGAAGTCATCCCACAGCAGCTCTCCCCGCTCGCTGCCCGCGTTCAGCGCCTGAAACAGCTGCTCATCCGTCATGGGGTGAAGGGACGCCAGCGCCACGTTGAGAACGGGCACGGCGCGCTCGAACGCAGAGTTGGTCATGAACTTCATGTTGCACTGCAGCAGGTAGAGCTCCGACAGAGAGACGGGCACCACCTTGTAGCTTGCACTTTTGATGACCAGATGACCCTTCTCAAAGAGGTCAAGGGTCAGTTTGAGGTACAGGTACGAGCCCTGGCTGCGGGAGATGAGGTGGGAGCTGACTCTGCCCACGATGATGGGGTCGGCTTTGCCGTTGAGGGAGATGTTGTTGAGGATGTTCTGGCTGCTGTTGATGCGGTGCTGGATGTAGGCGTTCAGGTCCGTCCCGATCTCCTTGTTGTCTGGGAATTCGTCCAGGCTGATCTTGGAGAAGGGCAGCAGACTGGTGATCTCCTGCAAAGACAAGACGGGAATGAAGAGTCAAAAACTTTTCCTATTAGTCAGGGGCACGGGAAGATGTTTTCGGTTGGGGGTGCTGTGTGTGCTGGGGCTGGTGTTGGATGCCCATTTTGGAAAGTTTTTGCTGGGATGGGCATTTTAAAAAATCTGAAATTCGCTTTTTCGCCATTATCTCCTTGTATTAAAGTTAATCTTGTTCGCATTCTGTACAGTTCATGTCTGATACCACGCGCCAGCGTCACGTGTTCATGAGGATTAGGCTAATCATCCCATATAGAAAACATCACAAGTAAAATTAATCATGTTTATAAAGATAAACATGGGTTTATTATAGCCCACTTACAATTTACATTTCAGAGATCATTACAAATAAATTATTAAATGCTAAAACTGAATAAATTTAAATGAACAAACTTGGCGTTGCATTTGCAACCATGTGAAAACAGGGGGTGCTGCAGCCCCCTCAGCACCCCTACTTCCCGCATCCCTGCTATTAGTTTTCTCTGAGAAGGACAATGTTGATTTCCTGACTGAAGTTTTGAATTCAGTCGAGTTCATTTTTTCTCCCATGAAAACTGTAAGTATATATAAGTAAGTGTTTATTAAAATCTTGACAATATTACTTGTCATAAAGAACAGCGTTTTTTTATTTATTTTTTGCTCTTCATGTCATTGTATTATTTCAGGCCGATTGGGGCAAGCCTTAGTGATGTTGTAGACAGTGTGAGTACTACCATCCCTCCAAGTTTCAAGGTCAACTGGAAGACTGGTTAAACACAGTCACTCACACACATATACCCACATCCCAACAAATCAATAATCCTGCAGCAATAACACAGCACTGCAGTGGAGAAGGAAAGAGAAACACAATGAAGTTTACATCACACACGAGTCTCATATAGTTCCTTATGAGGAACCACAACAACACTCCTGTGAGACGCTCCTGCTACCTGAAGAAACGGCTGATGAACGGCTTTGACGGCTGCCGTGATGCTGCGGATGCATCAGACTGTCATCATCACACACAAATCAACAGATGAAATCACACCAGCAACCTGACAAAGTGCCTGATTATATCAGTTCAAACGATCAAGGCATGTTTTCCACACTGTTTTTCACAATGAAGAATCATATTTAATCAATCTCATTTATATGCACCAATATTTACCGACATATATTTTCTCATACATCTTTAATGTCACTTTTGATCAATTTAATGCGTCCTTAATGAATACAACTCTTAATTTCTATCAAAACAAATAAAAACTTACTGATCCCAAACTTTTGAAAGTAGTATATGTAAATATTTGTTTATTAGTATGTATTGTAATATCAGTGCACATGAATAAAAATGATTAAATATGAATCTTGCTTGTCTTTATTTAGTTAAAGCATGCCTCAACTATTTTAACTACAGTAGATTTTTACTGCATTTTACTTCTTAAACATTTTAAATTACTAGTCTACAGTGGCTGACTGGATATAAAAAATTTGCATTTTAAATCATTTCAGAGCAAATACATTAATCTCAGGATATATAACAAATATTGTCAAAAGGCTGAAAAATATTGTGAAGTCCTATTGAGCGAGAAGGCCAGACTAGTAGCTCTCCTCACTTATAGTGACAGCTAGAACAGAACGCATTAGGAGGCTTTCATAAGTACAAAAACACACATTTGCGCTTGTGCACACACACACACACACTCCAATCTGTCGTCTGACACATATCAAACACTAGATGATTCTGCTCTGCTAGTCGAGCTCTACCTTTCAAACTGTCAAAACGCAGCCAGCACGAACACTGTCTCTCTCTCTCTCGAATTCGCTCCCTTTTCCTTTTGGCCTCCTCCTGTCTGGATTACTGTCTAGCTGTCGTACCGTCTCATGTGGAGGGTCAATGTTCCTCATTAGAGCTACAAGATTCTCCTGCCCAAAGCGACAAGATGAGGTGGAGAGAGTCTGAGATGGTGAACATGACACCAAACCTGATCTGAGCAGACGAGAAAAATATACTGGCCTGGGTTACAAAAACATGTCACCACCAAATCAGAAGACAAAATAAGAAATTATTATATACTGCAGAAAGACTATATATATGTGTGTGTGTGTGTGTATAACTTTTTTATATATAATAATAACATATAACATATATATTATGTTTTTATTTTTTATGTAAAATAAAATATATAATAAAATTATATACAATATAAAATTGTGTATTTATATATATATTTCATACCAAAATTATATATATATATATATAGAATTTTTTATAACCATTTTTTTAAACAATAGTATGCATTAAAAATAAATAAATAAATAAAATATATATATTACATTTTTATTTTATTTATTTTGCTTTATTTTGGGGCAAAATATGACTGTTATGCAAAACAATCTCTCTCTCTCTCTATCTATCTATAATATTTTATATCCATTTTTTATAACAGTAGTATTTTTTTTTTAAATACATTTGTAATGTAAAAATTTTATGCATCATTTTTATTTCTTTTGATTTTGGGGTGAAATATGACAAGTAAAAAAAGTCTCTTGAAATTCAGTTTCATGCTCTTAGCAGCCAATAATTCACTGTGCAAAACACATTGTGGTCACACAAACCATATTTACCCTTACTATGATCAAATTTAATGTCATCTAATTTGTCATATTGTCCATCTTGTGTAGTTTTGTTTATGGTTTTGAGGATGAGGTTGTCACTCAATCGGTCCATCGGTCTAATTGGACTAGATTCTCTTTTCTAGTTAAGTCTATTATTTATCTTCATGTGATTTGGTGCATTTTATCACTTGTATTTAACATTGGTTTTTGCAGCTCAGAACAGATGTGCCACCCATGCATGTGTCGTGACCCGCAGCTTTAGATACACTATATATTCCCGTCTCACCAGAAGGCTTGTTCTCACAGTGACGATCAGTTTGAGCCAGTTGGGGAACTTGGAGATGATCTTGGTGATGAAGGAGGCGACGGTGTCCCCATAGTCTGGTTTGTGAAACTCCGCCTCGTTCAGCCCATCAATCAAGATGATGCAGTCTTCCTCTGGAATCTTCCTCTCTGATAAACAACAGAAAAAATACATTCAAACACACTTCAGTCATCAGGATTATATGCTTAATGACAAATTGCAACGTGTTCAGAAAGCAGTGATTCACTAATTATATATATATATAAATAATTTGATTGGATTTAAATTTACATCACATGTGTTACTATAATAATAATAGGAACAAAACAATTTTTCAGTCTAACTGTACATTTCATTAGTCTAGCTGTAGCAGTTTATGGTTTATGTCCAACAAAATAATCATTTTGAGTATTAATTCAAAGGAATATATTTTTCTGCAGCTCATCCAGTCAAAAATATGCATTAATAAATGGTCAAATGCCAAGAAAGAGGTGGAGAGGGAGCAGAAGAGCTTCAGCACTAATGAGTCTCCTGTGTACGACTGAAATCTCTCATGCTACTTTAGACATGAATCTAGAGTCCAGCTCTTGATGTGCAACGGCTGGTTCTTTCCTTTGAGTTATGTGGTTATTATATTTATTCTGCTCATGCTAAAATATAAGGAAGTTTTCCATGCAGATCAGACTGACTTAAATAAACAACTTATTCAAATTAATCCATATAATATGAATCAGTCTGCAACAGAACAAAAGGGAGATTTAATGAGGAGCACGGATCAGTCCACTTCACAATTAAACTCTTCAGATGCGGCACGTCTTTGTTTGGCCTCAAATGAAGCATCACCCTCCAGATCCGTCAGGAGTCACTTTAATAATTCATTACACACGAGATCTGAGCGACTTCCCAGAGCCGAGCCGTCGCAGCGGACTAACACAGAGACGGAGAAACAGTTCTGCAGCGAGCAACACATCAAGAGCTGCACTTCCTCAGCTTTCAAATATTATTTGAATGAGGAATACGGCCGAGCAGCATCCATAAAGCATCTCTGCTTTTAAAGCTCCACCACAAATCTCTGCGCTGACTTCTTCATGGCATGACGGAGAGGTTCAGCCAAAACACTTCCCCGACAGTCGGTTTCAATAAGACACTGTGTGGCTATAGCGGACATTCAGAAAAAAAATATATTTTCTTTATCAGTAATATTGGCTTATTTTCCAGGAATTTTTTTCTAGTCTAAAAAATCTTAAAACAAGATCAACTTACTTGAAGCAAGACTGCATAACATATTAATACTTGTTTTCAAAGAATAAATCAATAAATTATAAATTTCATAATTTAGATTTTATAAATCGCATGAGTTATATTTTTCCACACTGAAAATAAATAAATAGACATATTTATTTACTGGAAATTGTATTTTTATCTTGTTATAAGCACAACTCTATTATATTATCTAATATGTTGATATATAAATATATGAGAGAGTATGTAAATATATAAATATAAACAAATGGTGCACCGTTAATGCCCGGGTTTTTGTTTGTTTTTTGTTGTCGTGGTCGTTTATTCATTCTAGCAGTTTTGTCACGATGTCTTATAAACTTTTGTCTGTTTGTGAGGTTGATGCTGTATGAATTGCCCTGTGAAGGGACAAATAAAGATTTACTACTACTACTACTATATCAATAATGATATATATTTTCTATGCTCTATCTTAAAATACTAAACGTAAAATATAAAAAATAAAATAAAATAAAAATAAATAAATACAAATATTTCTGTGTATTGAGCTGCAGATTGGTTCCTGCTTTATTTTTTATTTTATTTTACTATCTATTACAATATGTGTATTAGATTTAAGATTATAACAAGGCAAAAAATCCCATACAAAACTCCATACAAAAAAAAAACAGAAAAAATTTATAAATAATAATATATATTTTCTATACTCTCTCTCTCTTAAAATAATAAACTTAAAATATATATTAAAAATAAATAAATAAATACTATTTTTGTGTATTGAGCTGAAGACTGGTTCCCTTATTTATTTATCTATTTAACTATATATTATGTATACTATTAATACACATTATTAATGTGTATTAAAAATCCCAATGACAAAAAAAAGCTTAAAACAAAAATAAAAATTGCTGAAGAAACATAAAATAAAAATTACTTAGGAAAACTTTTATT